ATATATATATATATATTCACTTGACTCTAAATATTTTTCAATTTACTTGATCAAAAATTTAAAATAGAAAAAAATAATTAGAAATAAGTTCCTAGATCCTAAATTTTGCATTATATGTACGTTTGACTTTGTGAAAATAGTACTCCAACTTGCTTGATAGATTACGGATGTTTTCTATTGGAACTTTCCATTATGGCTTAAGGCAATCACCCGTTCCGATTCAATTATTTTCCTTCATCGACGTGCAAGTGCAACCATATAAAATTTTATCCAAGTTCTCTTCTGCCAGACACGAGGCAATGCAAGGTCTCTGATTGAGGATTTGAATCCACGAGGCAATGCATCACTCATCTCATTTATGAATCCTTTCTAAAGTGGTGCTTTCCTGAGACAACCATAATTAAGCTTCGTGTCATGTTCCATAATAATATTAATTTACTTTGAATCGTCATCGTAAATCGTGTCGATCTCATACAAAAGCAGTGGTTGTTTCAGTTCCTATCGGTGAGCCATACGCATTGATAGTTCGCCAATTAGTAGAGCCATGATGATATCCCATGTTGTTAGCCACTCTGTTAGGACTCAATCAGCTCTCGTGTAGACGATCACCAATATCACTTCTTCTTGAACTCGATCAACAAACATTGCATGATTGAATTCTTTTCTTTCAAGTATAAACCCTCAAATTATTCATATGGAAAATAGCCCAACACTAAGCTCAACCGATAACTGCAACATTGAAGGACCCGCTGAGCAGACAACCAAGAACAGACGTAAACCATATCCACTGTAGCATTACAACAAACGACTTGAAGACGACAACCACTAACACACACGAACCGTATCCACTGTAGCATTCCAACAAGCAACTTGAAGGCCACCACCACTCGAGCTGGACAGTGTCCTCGTGATGTGAATATTAAATTGGAGAAGACCAGTCCACAGCCCATCTGTCCTTTTAAAATCGGCAGCAGGTCTTCACCAACCTACTCATTGCAACCAAACTACTCCATCTGTCACGTTGATTACAGATGATGAGTGTCCCTTCCTTGCGTTGGAATCCAAATGCCATCGCCATGAACACAAGCAAATGATTGTAGACTCTGGAAAAAGCAGCTTTGGCTTTATCTCTGTGGAGTGTGTGGCTCCACTCGCCACCACCGATTCTAGTTAAGAATTAGTTGGGTCAATATCAAGCTGGCAAAGTCTTACCATAGTCATATAAATATCATTATGTAGGACTGTTGGTAGGGCGCATTTGTTTGCTGATGGAATTGTTTCTTCATATGTGCTTAATGAGGGCCATTTCTCTAATATGGGCTTTTGCTATAGAGGCTTTTGGAAGGCCCAAAGAGGGGAATTTTGGATATGATCCGTGACCCCGTCCAAGGCACGTCATTCGCCCAATGTCAAACATGTTATCCTCCGAAAAAAATTAAATTATATTATTTTGATTAATTTTACATTAAAAAAATAAGATTAACTAACTTATAAGGATCTACTAAGTATATTATTATTAATTCAAACTTAATCATTTTGAGTCATTAGCTTAGGCTTAATTCGTTAACGCATCAGATATCTTATAAGATTGAATCGTGACAATTGATATTACAGTCAATCTCATTTTGAGCTAGTATTTCAGGTTCGAGGATTTAGGCAATGATTTATATTTACTTACTATGATCCATCAATCCGTTCATTCCTCTTAGATTGGTCGACTCACGCGGCAGGCACAAGCTGTCTGAAGCTGGGATGGAACGGTCAAAAGCTTCCAACAAAAATACTTTGTAGCCACGGGAAGCTTTCCAAGGAAATTTTAAGACGTTGGGTGTTCTGGAAATCTATGTTTAACAGGTTTAACTCATTCGATTTGCAGTTCTGCGTACAGTGTAACATGTAAAAGGGCAACGCAGCCCTGCGTTCTCTTTCTTTACGAGAGATTGATTGAATTATGGGTCTCTATTCTATTTGAGAAAAATTCTCCCTTCTACTGTAACTTTCTCCTCTACGGTTTCTCTACTGCAACTTTCTCTTATGCTGTATCTTGCTGTCGCCGTCACTGTCATAGCCACCGTCGTAACAATAGCAACAGCAGCAGTAGCGATCTGCCCTTGCTCTACTCATGAAGCCTTTGGCTCGTAAACTATTTTGCATCAATCCAAGATTGATATCATTGATAGAAGCACCATCTAATCTATATAAATATGAGAAAAATATGTTAATGTATTGAATGTAAAGCTACTTCAATAAAACTTCTTCAACCTCCAAAAAAAGATCGTATTAAGTGGCAGCTTCTATAGGTCTTACACTCTCATGAATGAGACGTATAACTGAGTTAGGCGTTTGAAATCTTAGTCTCGGCACCTAGTTTGTCATCATCTATATCAGCATTACTTAATCCAATTCCTCTTATATAAGAAGGCGATTTGATTCAGAACGAGAAAATTTTCGTCTTCTGCTCTCTCTCTCTTCAATATTCTATCATCTCTGCAATTACAATTGTCTGAAGTGAAAGCTGAAGTCATTAATTCATCAGTGTTGCTGTCATTCAAATGCTTCGGGACTCGATATATCAGTGAATTCCTACATTCCGACACCACATTTTTGCTGCCCTTTTAGTGTTTTCTGGGGGGTGGTGCCCTTATAAATTACTGTATATGTAGCAGTCACAGCAATGTCCCTCGCAGAAGAAGTGTCAGAGCTCACATTTAGAGAAAACTTCAATGATATATAGCTATCTTATAGCAGACCGTACCAGATTGTAGCAGTTTCATCTTCTAAGCTTATCACCAAAAGTATTCACCCACCATGCAGCCAAGAACATGACTTATATATATATTTCATAACAATCAAGATTGAAGTTTGAAATGCCTATTTACCAGAGAGTTGTACCCCAGAAAATGGGGCTTTTAATGCAACAATGTAATTGATGCAGAAGTACTACTTTGAAAGATGAAATGGATATCAAGTCCATCTCATCACAGAGGAAAAAATGGGTATTCATTGAACATTTGATGGAGCAAATGTGTGTAAGCATGGAAAGTACAAGCAGTACAATATCAAGGAAGAATAAAACAGGGAATAAGACCATGTTGTCCTTGGGAAGGAAGAATTTTTTTAAGAGTCAATCTTGTTTTCAACCTTTAAAGCAACAAAATTGGAATCCTATTGCTCAGGAATGATTCATGAGAGCTCTAACAATTTGACTTACGAAACAAGAAATCCAATTCAATTTTCATCAAACTTCTGATCATCATGTATAGCCACAATCTAAGCAATAGTTGCAGACAACTCTAATCAACAGGACTACTCTACCAAGCACTCAATGATTAGTTTGCAGTCTGCTACTGGATTCATATCTCATTTTCTCAAACAGAAAACTTCTTAGAGGTCATCAGGTCCATCTTCCATTTCATATTTATCACTCTCATATGCACATCACTTGGACTTGATCTATAAATCACAATTCGATGCAGTTGAACCGAATGTATCAAAAATATTAGCTGCTTTACTTACAACAACTCAAGGTGAATAAAAATGTGCTTGAAATAGAAGTACAATGCAATTGTTATGCAGACACTTGAACAGAGATTGTGTAGTGAGAAAATAAACAAGCAAACCACATAACTATAATCTGAGCAACCTAAAGAAAAGTTCTCAATTAATGATTGGGACCACTCGAGCTGACAATATCTGAACAAAAGAGTGTGATAACCATGTCTGTGATGCCTATTCTGATCTTGGATTCAGCTAGCTTTTGAGCATGAAAGGGTTAATGAAATTCCAGCATGTCATTATTAGAATGAAGAAGTAATGCATGTAATTGACACTAAAATTTCTTAAGGTTTCCACAAATTTTGCCTCCCTTCCTCAGCACACACACAAATTAAATCGTGAGGAACAAAGAATATGAGAGAAGCATGTATATTTATGAGACTAAAAGAGAAAAGTAATATGCAACGGAGAATTAGGAGAAAGATGGAATTCATTAGAGAACTCCTTGTTATTAGATCCCTTGTGAGTTACAAACGCAAATCCAAACTCAAACCATTTTTGGAGCCTGAATCAAACCCACCTTGGTCCTTTGGAGAAACCAAAGTAGTAGCTCCTTCCACCACCATTTCCTTCGTGTCTCTTCCTCCGAACAAAGGCTGTGCAGGTGGATAGTCTCCATGGAAGCTCGGCTTGCCGTCATGCACTGGCATCCTCCATAGCTCGGGCAGCGTACTGCTTTTGATGGGCTGAGATGTGGAACCTAGGCTGCCATGGAAGCAAGCGGAAGGGTTCATGATAGGGCAGGTGCTGGTCCAAGAAGGACAGTGGAGAGGCGGTGGGTGGGCGAAGCGGGCGGCAGAGGGGATGGAGCCCAGATGACGATAGTTGAGGTAGCCATAGACATGGTCGTCGGGGAAGAAGCTGGGGTGGTGGTACTGTTGTGTCGCCAAAGCGGAATGGATGTGGGCTCGCTTCGCGTGCTGGCGCTCCCGCTTGTGGGCGTTCTGATGCCCGCCAAGGGCTTGCGACGTCGGGAACTTGCGGCAGCAGTAGTGGCACTCGAACTTTCTCGCACTCTCCCCACTATCAGCGTTGGCGGCGCTTGGGGTGTTACTGGTTTCGGTGGTGGAGGAGGGAGGGTCGTTGGAAGGGCCATCTTGTGATGCATCAGGCTCCATGGCGAAGTCGATGCCGAACAGCCGAATGACAGGGCTCGTATCGGGTGTATTCTGCTGAGCTGGCACGGCACGGATGAAGGGGAGCTCGGAGAAGGAGTCGACGCTGACCTTCATGAAGTTGTGGATCTGTTGCTCGCTCATCGTTGCCGCCTCCGAGCTCAGTCGAACCTTGTATACAAGCTTCAAAACGGGACCGAGGAGCTATGGAACGAGGAGAGTGAAGAGCAGGAAAGGAAGGGATTTTTGCTCTTTGTTTCAGTCAAGTACTGGTAATGGAGTTCACATAGTCTTTAAGGGGTGTAGAGATGGAAGGAAGAGAAGGGAACAAGGCATGGTGAGGGGCCAATATGGCTAGGGCTGACAAGGGATGATGCTGAACTAAAGAGGCTTTTGGCTACCCAAACACCTTCCAAGTACTACCGCTGTAGTTACTGCTGCATCCTACTACAGGCTTGACTCCCATCACCTCCATGTCTTTTTCTTTGTGTGCTGTTTTCCTTCCTGTACATCCCTTACATCTCTTGTCTCCCCACATGTGTATCCATCACTCGAGTGGGGATCACCTGGAAACGTGATCATCTCTCTCTCTCACTCTCTTGTTTGTTCTTGACCAGGGATGGTAATGGGCTCTTCGTGGCTCTTAGCTTCTTTGTATCGGTGCTGTAAGTGGTCCTGGGATGTGGTAGCTCCATGATTAAACGGTGAGTTGTAGGTAGTGAGTTAAATTACCTTTTATTTTTAATTTCCCTTCTTCCTATGTATGTTCCTCCATGTAAAAATGGAAGCTCGAAACTCTTGCCACCTCCTTGCAGTTTCCCACTACTACAATTCATATCAGCATCCGAAGAACACGATAAGGACGACTAATATCTTGACATGCATGCAAGCATGCGAAGCTGAAAACATGGCAAGTGATTGTAGTACCTGAATGCAGCTAGAACATAGACATCTCCAAACCTATTCGACTTGATTTCGTAGGTATTCCACTGTGAGAAATAGGTGTGTGATAATGATAGATAGAGACATGCCAAGTCCTCGAAAAGATATATACTGGATAATTAATTGGTCCAGAGAAGATGTAAATATCTTTCGCTCTAACATGTAAATAATCCAATTTAGTTGTCAAATCCACTGTTTGTGGATGTAGTTCATGTGGTTATCGGATTGCCTCCTGCTACAAGAGCACTCACCATCAGGGTTCATTGTTGATGAGACAAAGGATAAGGACGTGCTCAGAAACAGATACAAGGAACATGAAGGAAAGCAATAATTTGTGCGTAACACCTACAGATGAAAAGTATGCTACAACTAAGCTCGAGCATTTTTGATCTTGACTTGTGCAGTGTGGTGGATTTCACATGGCCATTACATGCGTCCTATCATGTATGTTGCTTTTCTGAACATTAAACCTAGATTTTCGAACATCACAAAAGATCTTTGATTGAGACGGAAATGGAGGGTTGTTAGCTGATATGGGACATGGATTTGTCCTCATGGTTGTGGTACGTGGTGCTTTACAGAAAGAAACGAGGAATAGTAATGTCCAACCCCATCAGTCTTTCCTTTTTCTTTTCTTCTCTTTCTTCCTATCTTTCTTCAAAGACGAAGGCTTTTTACAGCCCGAAAAAGCTTCTGTCTCGCCTGTTCCATGGAAGATGGATTACAGCACTCAGTAAGTATAGGAGTTGTAATGAACTCTTCGATTTATACCTTCAAATACGGCATCCTAATACTGGCACATATTTCTTAAGCTTCAGAAGCTTTCTGAGGTAGAACTGAGAAGTGTGAAATCTTCTTTAAACTTGCATGCATTCTCAGACTTTGAAGTCATCCTCCGCATGTCTGACCAACTTTGTAATAATTCCGGCTTCTTACACCCTCCTCATTGCTACAGAGACAGGTTACGGAAGCTACTTTTGCCGTTCCCCCCTTCAATCTCCAAGAAACCTGCTATGATAATGTTCACTTGATGCATACACCTCCTCTTAAATTGAACTCACTGTGTCTCTGGATTCCTCAGATCGAGCAAGCTCATGCCAGGTGATCCACCTGAGCTCTCTCACAGGGAATGGAGCTAAGTGTTGCCCTTTGGGACCTCTGCACCAGTTGGTGTACTTGTTGCAACCCACGGACCAGACTGCCTCGCCTTGGGCTCGGCGCGCACCGCTCAGAAGCAGACGTTGGTCGGCCGCGTGCCGAAAGGGAAAAAGAACAGCGAGATTAGAGCAGCGATTAGAGCAGCTGCAGGCTCATAGGATCCGCTTGTTGGGTCGCTGACGTTGAGGGTGATTGTTCCCTCCTCGCAACACTCGTACCAGTGTCAGATTGGAGTAGGCCTCTCTCTTAAAGGCTCAGTGGTCTTCTCAAGACATGGGGTGATAGCGCTGTCGGGAGATCTCCATTCTTAGGACCACCAAAGTGAAAGCAGCTTGAAGATGAAGTCAGGAAGGGGAAGTAGAGATCAAAGAGCTGTGACTGGGCAATGGAAAGGAAAAGATGAGGCAACTATACGAATTCTTTTCACAGGTTTGGCTATCCATTACAGTAAGCAAGAAGATCTAAGGCCAAGTCATATGATTGGGTAGGTTCAGATGCAGCTGGACATTCCCTATCAGGTCGATTCCACCAATCCAACTTGGTTGGGTATTCTCAGTACTCCTATGAACAGGACCTCACGTTGAATGGTCTCGAACAGTGACATGCAACTTCTGGTGCATGATGCGAAGACATCACAGTCTGCTCCTATGGTCTGTGTGCAGGCCACATAGCCCAAAGACCACAAACTGAGGCTGATCAGATGAGTGAACCAGTCTTGATCATCAGAGGGAGAGCAAGTGTGGAGTCGGGACCAGCAGGACATGGTAAATTCAAGTTCTTGTCCTCCTCCAATGGGATGCTAACTTAGGAGAGCTCGGTGACGATGCTGGACCAGCTACTAAATGGAAGCTCATGCATTCCACCCAGTGGTCGTCTTTCCTACGAAATTATATGCAACGAATTCAGTTCCCACCTATGACAAGAGAGGCTCAAGCAAGTCAAGTCCCTTCGAGAATCTGTGAAATAGTAAGTCAACAAGCGTCATTTGGGAAGGTTGGCATCGATCATCCTAATGCAAGTTTGTGTAGCATGATTCACATCTATAGCATTATCACCTTGTATCATTAATTAATGGGTTTCTCTCTTTTTTTTTTATTTTTTGAGGGAAGAAGATATCTTTTAAAAGAAATTTGGGGGAGAAAGAAAAGAGAAGTTGAGGAGAAATAGAAGATAAAGAAGAGATGAAGATGAACCGAAGAGGATGTGTCTTCGTATCAATAGACTTTTTTATTTTTTCACGTGTTATTATATATAATATGATTTGTGTCGATGGCATACCCAACAAACTCTCTTTTATAATACTTTATATTAGTGTTGGGCTAGCAAGCCAAAGTGGGTTCAGTCCATGGTTGGTTTTATCAGTCCATAGCTCACACCCCCTCTTAACCTAACCTTATATCAATATAAGGGGGGTGTGGTAGTTGCGTTTTTTTAGTAGAAAAGGGTAGCAACGTGGTGATTTTTGTAGCAGCAAAGAGGAGAAGAAAAGGCAGAAAAATAAGAGAAAAAAAGGAAGAAAACAAGGACAATGCAGAGAGATTGTTCTCAATCATATAGCAGTGTTCTCATCTCAGGTTAGATCAAATCTATAATAGACTCTTGCTGTGATTACTTGGGAAGAGATCCTTGTATCCCAGTTGTTCTCGTGTGATTGTTGCTAGGGTTTAGGGCAAGAGATTGAGATTTGTATATTCATTATTCTCATAGTGGATTATCTCTAGTTTGTCCCGTAGTTTTTACCCTTCACATTGGAGGGATTTTCCACGTATATCTTGATGTTCTATTTGATTTGTTCATATATAAAGTTATTTTGCTTTATATCTCCATCAATTAGTACATCTTTGTATAACCCAAATAAATCAAGACTAACCACAGTTAGAAACTGTGCCTTAAAAATGAGGATTGAGCCTTAAAACAAAAAGGAGATCAGTCAGTATTTTATTTCTATTCGTATTCATTCTTACTCTACTCTCCAATCTATCGTGTTTCCTTTTCTTCTTGCATGCCCAAAACAGTGTGCAGACCACCCACACAACCTGCAATCGACCAATCTTTTTAGTTCAAGTAAAAGAAATCGCTGTACTTCGATCCAAAACTGCAATGCCGAAAAATGGCTGCTGCATTTAGTCAGAAACATGGGATCCGGGCCTTACAACTCTCTCTTTCCTCCACACTGTCCACCTTTGGTCCACTGATCAATTTTGACTTGCAGAAATATTAATCTTCCAACATCACATCTTGCATATAAAAACGCATGTCATGGCATATGTTGAAACCATTAATAGAGTATACAGATTAGCAGGCCAACAAAGCACGTCAACTTTCCGAAAAGAAATATAACAATCATTTAGATGACTTCTAGATCATCTAAATGACGTCGTGATTACGTTAAATATCTCATAATGTCATGCAAACATTTACATATACGACATATAAAATGCTATAGAGATGCATATTATCTTACGCACAAGCTTACAAACGAGTTATGTTTAATCGGTCAAAGTTAGTCCGATTTTGGAATTGATGATTTCGACTCGATCGCAAATGGAATCGGAATCGAAGCGATTTTGATTTCGATGGGGAAACAAATGGTTCTAACTCTGGTTTCGAACTAGAATTATTATTATTATTATTATTTTAAAATATCCATTAAATTAGTTGTTTACTTAACTATTAGATGGACAGATTTATCATTTATAGAAATATTTTATTTTTATTTTTTTGGGGTGGAACCGAAGCACCCCGGTTCGGTTCCGAATCAAACAGAACGGCCAGGGCTGGTCAAAGTCACGCATCTAAAGACTGCCACGTCTGCGCGGGCACGTGTCAAACATACGGCAATCTGGGTGCGGTCATGGAAACACGCCACTAACGACGTCACGTTTTACATCACAATCACGACAACTAATGGACTACTTCCCGATGAAATGTAATGTATGAATTGGCTGTGTAACTTCGTACTTACGATCGGAATCTAATTCTCATTCACATAAATAATGTAGAAATTGCCGTGGAAGCGTAGAGAGTCAACTGTTCTTCTTCCACCGTTTCCAGAAGGCCCGAAGACAAGGACTCCTCCCACGTCAGCTGTTACTCTCTTCATGGTGGGTCAACAGCGAGGGTCGAACCCTTTCGCATCGTTAGATTTGTCTGGAGCGCACTTGGGTAGCGTACGCTGCATCTTTTCCCCAGCTTTAAAAGCCCCCACAAGAGCTCCCCTGCGGCCAGTGGACATCTCATCCTCTCCCCTTTTTTTTTTGTCTCCTTCTCCCTACCGTTGTTTTCTCCCTTACCATCGGCTAATACAAAGGGGGGAAGAGAGAGTTGCAGCGAAAAGGGTCCTTGGATTTGTTGGTCATGGGCACCTTAGTAGGTCATGTTGCGCCAGGGTTTGGGTTCCTGGTGATTGGGCTGTGGCACCTCGTTAACCATATCAGGCTCTACTCCATCAACCCCAACTCCTACGTCGCCCCGCCATGGTTTCCCTCTCCTCTCCTCGGGAGGCATCTCGAGCTGACGCTTATCATGTTTGGGAGCGTCGCTTCCATCTCCATGGAGCTGTTCATTGGCCCCGAAGCCCACCAGCCTTTCGACGCCGACGGGACCATCCCGTCCAACCATCTCCACAACTTCGAGCACGCCTCCATCTCCCTCACCTTCTTGATCTACGCCGCCTTCGCCGTGGCGTTGGACCGCGCGAAGCTGAGGAACCGCGACTCGCTGACGCAGCTGCTCGGCGCGGTCGCCTTCAGCCAGCAGCTCCTCATGTTCCACCTCCACTCGGCTGACCACATGGGCGTGGAGGGCCAGTACCACTGGCTGCTGCAGCTGGTCATCGTCGTGTCGCTGGCGACCACGCTCATCGGCATCGGGCGGCCGCGGAGCTTCCCGGTGAGCTTCGTGCGGTCGGCGAGCATCGCGTTCCAGGGGGTCTGGTTCATCATCATGGGCTACGTGCTGTGGACGCCGAGCTTGATCCCCAAGGGGTGCTTCATGAACATGGAGGTGGGGCACTACGTCGTCCGTTGCCGCAGCGACGAGGCGCTCGACCGCGCCAAGTCACTGGTTAACCTACAATTCAGCTGGTGCCTGGCTGCCATGGCGGTACTCTCCATGTTGCTCTACTTGTTCCTGATCAAAACATACCCTGAGGAGCCGCAGTACATACCTTTGGTGGAGGACGCAGTTGGAGAGGAGGATGAGGAGGACTTGGAGTGCCATAAGAAGATGATAGACTCTGAGAGTCTTGGTCATAAGGGGCAAACGTTAAGGGCCATCGAACTGGAAAAGTAAGAGAAGGGTCCTATGGGTCAGGTGTGCTTTTCACTTTGTTTAATGGCACAGGACATCTGTGCCTGTTCCATCTGTCTCTGTGTTGATGAATGCTTTGTGAAGTGGAGCAGATCTTTGGCGAAGCCAACTTTGATTTGGAATACATACTTGTAAACTTGTTGTACAAATCGTTCCACATTCTTGTCTTTCATCAGCTGTCATAAATCCGTATTGCTTGGAGTTTTCATTAGCATCTGCAGATGAGGCTGTGGGTTAAAAGAAAACTCCAGAAGTCAACATTTAGCACAAAATGCTTATTTAAAGCCATTAACACGTTCTATTACATTCTAGGAAAATCTTTCTCTTAATCTCTAATAAATAGGAGGGGATATGTTAATGTATTTAAGTTTTTTCATTTCTTCGATAAAGCTTCTTCAATAATTATTCTTATCGTCTATTATTTTCATCATGGTATCAGAGCAATGAGAAAAGTGAAGTTTCGCTCTTACCTTCGGCCAGCAATCAACGTCGTCGAGAAAAGCAAAGCTTCGCCCTTGCCTTCGTCCAGCAACCAACTGTTGTAACCAAATTTCTAAGAGGCTCCGCGATTAATCTTCATCTTCCTAACCACGATAGTCGATGAACTTGGAACACCTGTGCCCTCATAGCAACAATAATCACAGTAGTAGCAGCGATCTGCTCTTGCTTTACTCACGAAGCCTTTCGCTCATAAACCATTCTTTGCATCGATCCAAAATTGATATCCTTGACATGAGCACAATCTTGCGGGGATATGATAAAAGATAAGATTTCTCTATATTCTGTTGAGGAAAATTCTTCCTCCTAAAAGGAAAATTCTTCCTCCTAATCCCTATAAATAGGAGGACATGTTAATGTATTTAAGCTTTTTCACTTTTTCAATAAAACTTCTTCAATAATTGTTCTTATCTTCTATTATTTTCATCACAATTCACATCGATATGTTTTTTGACGAAATATTAGATGCCTTTGTCCTAAACAATACTATATATTAAAACATAGAGCTTAGTGCAAAGGAGTAGTATCATTTGACCCAAATGATTGTCCTGTAATCTACATATGATCAAACTAAGAGGTCAGCTCATGCAGTCATCTAAGAATCTGTGCACAATATGATCCACAATTTAGATTACAGGATGTCTCAGAAATTGCTTGCTGACCTTTCATGCAACCAAAGAGATAGAACGGCTGCAAAGAATATGGTTGATTTTGGACTCTGACAATTGGGTCATCACATGGTATTTTGGAAAGCAGCCTTTTCCCAGGTTTCTTCTCGGAGAAGGGAAACAAGCGGATGGTTGAACTCCAATAAGAATATAACATCTATTCTTTGCTAGTCTCATTCTAGAGAAGGTTAGTATTTCCTAGTCAAAGACTTCCTCGTGTACGTTAGCATGCCATTCTGCCTAAGAAAGAAGAAGGGAAGCGTTTCAGGCATTTCTGTGAGCTCAAAATTGCTTGCTAAACAAACCATACTTTGGCTGCAATCAGACTCTCAACTCGACTGGAGAGTTCAACCTGTTTTAATGATCTCATGAACGCTTAAGGGTGCAAAATCTACTAATATTTCTTAAATCATATTAGTATATTTGGGAATTGCTATATGGCATACGGAATATGATCCACATGGAATCAAACATATTGGTCCATTCTAACTGAGCTGGAGCAACCTGGACATGTATTTATGACACGCGAGATACCTGTGTGACCTGCAGATGCTCGAATAGTGGTGTCATTTCACTTGATAACAGTGAAGTGCATGCACCTGTACTGTCGATGTGGCTGTCAGCATCTTGTGGTCTGGCCCAATTTGGAACTCAATGTTACTTTGATTGCAATCATGTCATTCACCATCAACAGTTTGAATGATGATGCTGATGACGATGCATGAATATAACACTAAAACTATCATGAACTTAGCTTCAAGCAGAATTCTTAGCTAAGCTTTTGTCTTGAGACAAGCTATCCCTTGTGGATTGCGATGTAAGATCTTAAGCAACGAAAATGACTTCGTATAGCATTCCCACAACGAGATTGGTCAAGGTTTATAC